AAAAATAATGTATTTTTCACAGATTTGATATATCGATTATGAAGAGCTAATTTTAGGCTAATTGATTACCCTATTTTCGAATTTTTTGCTCAACGTTTGAAACAGAAAAAAATACAAGACAATTCGTCGAAATACGCATTTATTCACTATACATTATGCATATCTATCAAAATCATATTTTATGACGATTTTTCGAGACAAAGTGTTAGTATCGATCATAAGCTCAACAACTATTGCATTTTGAAATTTTTTGCTGCATATTTTTTAAAAGAAACCTGTGGCTTTGCTGGCTTCGGGCGAACTCAGCAGAGCCATTTTTTAAAATAATATATTTTTCACTGTTTTGATATATCCATATTGAAGAGTTAATTTTAGGCTAATTAATTACCCTATTTTCGAATTTTTTGCTCCACGTTTCAAACAGAAAAAATACAAGACAATTTGTCGAAATACGCGTCATTCACTGTACATTATGTATTTCTATCAAAAGCATATTTTATGACGATTTTCCAAGACAAAGTGTTAGTATCGATTATAAGCTCAATAACTATTGCATTTTGAAATTTTTTGCTGCATATTTTTTAAAACAAACCTGTGGCTTTGCTGGCTTCGGGCGAACTCAGCAGAGCCATTTTTAGAAATAATATATTTTTCACAGATTTGATATATCGATTATGAAGAGCTAATTTTAGGCTAATTAATTACCCTATTTTCGAATTTTTTGCTCAACGTTTCAAACAGAAAAAATACAAGACAATTCGTCGAAATACGCATTTATTCACTATACATTATGCATATCTATCAAAAGCATATTTTATGACGATTTTTCGAGACAAAGTGTTAGTATCGATCATAAGCTCAACAACTATTGCATTTTGAAATTTTTTGCTGCATATTTTTTGAAAGAAACCTGTGGCTTTGCTGGCTTCGGGCGAACTCAGCAGAGCCATTTTTTAAAATAATATATTTTTCACTGTTTTGATATATCCATATTGAAGAGCTAATTTTAGGCTAATTAATTACCCTATTTTCGAATTTTTTGCGCCACGTTTCAAACTGAAAAAATACAAGACAATTTGTCGAAATACGCGTCATTCACTGTACATTATGTATTTCTATCAAAAGCATATTTTATGACGATTTTTCAAGACAAAGTGTTAGTATCGATTGTAAGCTCAATAACTATTGCATTTTGAAATTTTTTGCTGCATATTTTTTAAAACAAACCTGTGGCTTTGCTGGCTTCGGGCGAACTCAGCAGAGCCATTTTCAAAAATAATATATTTTTCACAGATTTGATATATCGATATTGAAAGGCTAATTTTAGGCTAATTAATTACCCTATTTTTAAATTTTTTGCTCGATGTTTCATGCAGAAAAAAACCGAAACGATTCGTCGAAATACGCGTTTATTCACTATACATTATGCATATCTATCAAAAGCATATTTTATAACGATTTTTGAAGACAAAGTGTTAGTATTGATTATAAGCTCAATAACTATTGCATTTCGAAATTTTTTGCTGCATATTTTTTAAAAGAAACCTGTGGCTTTGCTGGCTTCGGGCGAACTCAGCAGAGCCATTTTTGAAAATGAAATATTTTTCACTGATTTGATATATCGATATTGTAAGGATAATTTTAGGCTAATTGATTACCCTATTTTCGAATTTTTTGCTCAACGTTTCGAACAGACAAAAGCACGAAACGATTCGTCCAGATATATGCGTTATCCACTATATCATGCATTTCTATCAAAAGCATATTTTATGACGATTTTATGAGGCAAAGTGTTAGCATTGATTGTAAGTTCAATAACTATTTGCTAGTTTCAGGCGATCTTAGCAGACACATTTTCGAAAAAAAAAAAAATGTTTTCTGCCGGTTCCGTACATTAAGATTTGAAGGTTAATTTGAAGTCAACCAATTACCTCATTTTCAATTTGCTTGCCCAATACGATTTCAGAAAAAAAACCAGTCGATTTTTAGTGCGATATTTATTCTAGGTAGGTATATGACGATTTTATGAGGCAAAGCGATGGTACCTACTGATTGTAAATTCAATAACTATTCTATTATCGAATTTTTCGCTGAACGTTTTTCAAAGGAATCCTGTGTTTCCGTCGGGCGAACTCAGCTGTGTTGTTTTTTGTTACCGAAGATATATATATGGTGATTTAACTTCGTATATTAATTTGGCCTCCGGCGTGAGTTTATATCCCACCCTATCGGTGATCACGTGCCCAGAAGAAATGGACCGCATAGCAAATAGTTATTTATTATACAAGGGAAAAAAGTAGTAGATTTTAGCTCCAGGTTGTGTTGTCTCCCGACGCGTAGCGGAGGGAGACAAAAAACCGTGAGCTAAAATCTAATATTTTCCCGTGTATAATACACTATTTTTTTCTGTCACAGAAGGAAGGACGAATCAATATTGAGAAGATATCACATTATTTCGAAATCTGAAAATTATGGACGTAAAATTTCAAGTTTTTAACAGTAGGGACACCTGCGTTTTATAGGCATCTTTATCATTCTTTTGAAGTAATCAAATATCTGATGTCACTTCTGTCAGTTCAATTCTGTGATTTGATTTCAAAAAATTGCGAATTCAGTAGTTGTTTAGTAATATACGAAACCGCGAAGTCGAATGGAAGATAAAAGGACTTGCAGTTCTTTCTCGGAGACGGTATTATTGACTCATTTTTCGGAACTATAGCACAACAAAAGCCATTAACAGAGTATATATATGTGATATATATCCGGGAAAGAAGTACTCACTTTTTTCCCACGGGAAAAAAGTAATTTATGAAAAGTGACATTTTATAACCTGCCAACAGAGATGAAATGCCAAACTTTTTTCCCGTCACAGAAAAAAATATTTTTTATACCTAGTTTCAGTCATTTAGGATATATTACACGGCGCGTAGGGTTATTTTATCTCAATTATTGTAGTGTTTGTCGTCTGGTCTATCGTCTATTTGTCGAGTGTATAGTACCTATTGAAATAAGAATGGAAATCCGGAAACCTGGACGTCCTGTCAAGGTAGCAAGAAATGATGTTATAGACATTTTAATAAAGCATAAAGAAATAGTTTTTAATGAAAAACGCAAACCAATATCAAAAATGTCCACAATCTGGGAAGATTTATTTCTGCAGTTGGAAGGAAAAATCACCTCCAGGTCAATATACTCGATGGCTTGTAATAAAGATATCATTGTACATGTATTTCCTGTTGACACTCAGAATGCTTCGATGAGTTTTCAAAATACTTCAGAACTTTCATGTGATATAACATGTGAAGATATACAACTTATGGATACCAGTCAGAATAATGGTTTTACATCATTCAACATATATGTTGCTAAAGACGATTTCCAGAAACTGTTAGAAATCAAATTATTAAAAAGACATGACGTTCTCAGAAACAAAAAATACACTCGATTCACTAAAGGCTTAAAATATGGATTATGGCAAAATTGGCTAACAACCGAACTATGGAATCAAGCCAAAATCAAATGTGGCTTCAATTTTCACTACCATCATGTGAACACCAATGCTACGGCTGGTACTACAAAGGGTGAGTATATATATATAAATACACGTATGACAAAAATAATTTCCCTATAGAGAAATCGTGGAGTGGGTAAGCGTCGTTGCCCGACCTACTCGTGTATGGCACGTGTGACAAACGATAATCTCTGCGGTCGAGCCGGAAAATGGATTCGCTCGGAGAGGCTAACGTGATACGAAGAGTATGGCAACGTCGCCGTCCCTTCGTTAAAATTCCCATGAACAGAATGCACAAGGTTTTCCTATAGGAAAATTAGTTTTGCAAGACGTGTATATGCTGATGCTTTCTGATTATGAAAAATACTGCAAACTGGTGTTTAAACTTTAATGTCAATTGATTTCAACATCAACAGAAGCATAAAAATCGATTGATTGAAGTAATTATTTCAAGTTTCTTTGACTTCATAATTCTGCAACAACAAGTTTGTTGTACTCAAAAATGAATCTCAAGCTGATATTTGAGGTACTTTCTTTCAAATGAAAATCAAAATAATGGTGGAATTACAGCTTGATGCATAAATTCATTTTTTCAAAGAGAAAACCCTGTTTTATCCTCTTTCCGTAATCTGAGTTCTTTGGTGATTAAAAGAAATATATATTAAGAGACTAAAAATTTAAGTTTTTATGATTGAAAAATCCAAAGATCTAATGGATTAGATTTTTCGTGTATAAAACTAAACCAGTTGCCCGTGGTCATGCCCCTGGAATTATTCAGTAGACTCTTAGAAGTCCGAAAAAATAAGAAGATTTCCTCAAACTTTAAAAATTGTATATTCAAATCGACTAAGTAATCTGATAACAAAGTTTGTCGGTCTTTTTCTGACTCACTGTATATTTTATATTATACCTAATAGATTATAATTATTTTTAAACAATGAATTTGTGGTTTGTCAAGCCACAGTTAAAAGAATACAAATTTATATATTTGTATTCTTTCAAATGTGGTCAAGCTTTCATGTACTTCAGATGAGGCTGCAAGAAGGACTCATTGCGGCATTCAACTTCCGCATTTTAATTTTCTTAAAACAGCAGAAATAAAGGGGTGGGCCACGAGGTGAGCCACTTCTATTCTATTGATATTATAACATTGAAGCCTTGAAATAGTAGTTTACTTAACAAGTGCTGCTGGCCGAACTCCGCTGTAGCGTCGTTCGACCATCTGCAATCGTGTGCGGAAAAGTATCACTTTCCGCACGTGTTCGGTAAACTATTTTTTCTAATAGCGTGCGGAAAAAATCCTCTTTTCGGCACTCATTTAAGTGTGGAAAGTCTTCTCCGCACAAGTGCGGAGAAGTGACATTTTTCCACACTGAAATGAGTGCGGGAAATGAACTTTCCGCACGCTAGTAGAAAAACATATTATAATCAATTTTTACCTATAGGTACATGTAAATGTGGAGGAGAAATAATTTGTAAGTTCACAGAGATGAACGAAAGTATCCAAATTGAGTGCAATTACAAAGGAGGAGAAGGAAGGTGCGGGAAAAGATATTTGAGGAATCCGATTAGAACGGAATTGGCGAAAGAGTTGAAAATCAATTCTGCACTAGTGACACGTTGTGGAAGAGCCGATGAACTAATGGAAGAAGGAGATGTGGAGCCTCCTCATCTTTATTCTCTGAATATTCTACACAAAGCGAAACAAGAACTGATATCTTCAGAACATGTACATAAAGATCCATTGATGGCACTTTGTCTTTTGAAAGTGGGATCTCTTCAAGGATCTATCCATAATATAGGGATGGACCCATTTCATGTACATTTTTGGAGTGCCCATCAACTACATGTTTATCGTTCAACGATGAAAAGTGGACATGTTACTCTTTCCATTGATGCCACTGGAGGAATTATAAGAAAGATTTTGAAACCCAATGGAGATATGTCACATAATATATTTTTATACAACACAGTGGCATCAACTGAGCATAGTCATTATCCTCTATTTCATATGCTTAGTGAGAGTCACAATACAAACGCCATTGCCTATTGGATAGGTGAATGGTGTCGTATGAATATTCCCATTCCGAAAGAAATAGTATGTGATTCATCTAAAGCCCTTCTCACAGCCATTGTGAGGGCATTCACTGGATTTTTAACAGTCGAAGACTATGCTAATGCATTAATTCATCTCAAACTACCCTGTTATGTCCGCTTGGATGTGGCACATTTCATTAAAATGTATGTGAATTTTTTAAAGGGAATTAAAAGCAAAGCCGTGAAAAGTTTATATTTATCTTGCATTGGACAAATGATTTTATGCGAAGATGTAGATACCGCTGCAAAACTACTGTTGTCGATTTTAACAATTGCTCGATGCAAAACAAATGGACAAAAAATGACCACCGGTCAGGAAACGGAGTGCACAACACATAAAAAAATGTTGAAACAGTACTTAGATCCGAAATATGATGAACATGATTATTACCCAGAAATGAATGTGGAAGATAGTATATTCAACTGCAATGACTATCACAATGAATGGTCGAAATGGGCAATAGATATAGATATTCGGGCTAGGGAAATAGCAGCAACAGAAGATGGAGATGATGAGAATGCTCACTACTTTCCCGAGCTTGCTGATCGGTTAGTTAGTGACATGAAATGGCTGCCTCTCTGGTCTTCAATTTATCGCCACAAATTTGGTTTTGGAAGACATCCTGCAACCAGTGCACCAGCCGAAATAGAATTCAACTTAGTGAAAAATCATGTGTTCAAACTATTTCCAAAGCCAGTTAGAGCTGATGTATTTGTTGAAACTTACATGAAATACCTTAGTGGAAAAATCAAAATAGTTGATGCCTCTACACGATCTTTAGAAAACAAATCAACAAGTAAAGAAAATCAACAAGGCTTAGAAAACCATCAACATCAGTCTCGACATCAGTTGAAGGATAATATGCATATTTTGAAAGACATCACCAATAAAGTAGAAGTAGATTTTGACACTGAGAGTAATCAAGAAACCCAATGTGAGGCTATATCAGTATTGCAAGAAATTGAGGATTGGGGAGGATTAGCTTCAGAAGCGATAAAAAATAAATCAAGATATCTGCGACGAAATCCCCAGACTTATGACAATATAATATTATCATCTGAAAACGAGAGATTAACAAAAATTCCCATATTGAAAAATGGAAATAATCCCTATTTGCAGGTGAGTACCTACCTACTCATTTTATATTTTATAATGAGCAAAAAGAAACGAAGTATAATCATCGACGGTCTGGTATGTACCATACCCTGACAGAGTTGTCATAAAATGTTAATATTATAGATTCGTATTCTTCACGTATAAATGTTCAAATAGGTTGATCATCTCCTATCAGTCCTATCTCGATGTATTTTCCAATCAAATATAGAATAATATAGATACTGATGGTGATTCTACATAATATTTATAATGAATCATTCGATTTACGAATATCTGGAAAATATATGACATAATATAATATGAATGGTTCTATATACTTTCAATTAACTCTCGGATTAACTCGAACTATAGCAAATACAAATTGTTTGGAAGCATTTAGAAGTCAGAATTTTGCACTCTTAATTTATCCTTGTCAAGACCGGAAAATACTTCCAATGATATCATTCGAGATCCTATCACCACTGTTCACGATCATTTTTTATATAAATATATACCAGGTGATTTTGAAAAAGCTACGTACATATAAGTGAATATTGAACACATCGAAAAGATCAACGTCATTGTTCCTTCCGCTAGGAGATTTGTATGGAAGTGAGAAATGGTACAGAGTAAAAAGTTGTTGCCTCGAATTTTAATGTAATCCCTATATACAGGGTGATTCATGAGGAGACTCACATAGTCAAATGGTGAATAGGGGAAATCAAGACGAGTTGATGTATAAATATGAAGAATTTTTTTATGGCATCCATAACGAAGATCTCGACGAAGATACATGGCATTTCCACCCAAAGATCTACACTGTAGCAATTGTGACGTCACCTGTGTTCAAATTTCCGTGCGGAAGGCATCACAATCACGCGGAGTTGAATAATTTATTCATTGTTCCAAAGTGGCGTAGGGACTAGATTTTTTTCTCGTTTTCTGTTAGACTGTATCATATATCGATGTGCTGAATACCCATTAGGTATATACGTGTACTTCTTTCAAAAACAGCAGTATGTGATTATAAAATACCGATTCCATTTTAGGCAGTGAAATTCAAAGAAAAAGAATATTCGTTCACGAACACATGCGCTTTCGATAGTCTCGTGCAGATATTTCTAGTAGGAGTATGTGACGATCTTCATCTGAGGGAGATTTTTATGGGCCTGAAGGACAACATGAAATTTGCTGAATTGATATTATATATTGCTAACAAGGGTACTACTCAACATGCCTATAGAATGAGAGCAGAAATCTTGAGAAACCTATTCGATACGACAACGAATCAGTCTTTGATGCAGAATGACAAATATCATATAGTGAATTGTGAGTCCAATATCGTGACGTTAGTATGCAATATATTTGGAGGATTGCCAAGCATCCAGGAGTCGACGAGTTGCGATAAAGGATGTCCTCCAAAAATAAAGAATTTGAGAATTGTCAGCATTGATCCGTTATGTATGACAACGAGTAAATTAAACAATGCACTTTCAGAATTCAGTTCACATGAGCCTCGCCCTTGTTCGAGGATGGAAGGATGTTCCGGTACTGAACATACGAAAGTTATCAAAACAGGTAAAGTGACATGGTGAAATCATGGAAATTTTCAGTTTTTCAGTCCTTCTTGAAAATTAATCATTTCATTAACTATTGGATCATCTCACTTATAGGCTTATCAACTCCCAAATTGCCTCTATCATTTGACTTAAGTTAATATGATTGCCAAAAACTATACCCGAGTATACCTATATATATCAAAAATGTATCAATTATGAGTATGATACAATCATGTTAATCGAGATTTGATGGAATCATACGACAATTCCTTGCCTCTCGATGCATACACTTCAAATGTATATTGAAACTTATTCATAAGTCACATTCGTTGTAGAATAATTAGTAATTATATACCAAGACACATTTTTCTAAGCCGAGGGAAATAAGTAAGAGAATCATGGTTTACCGAGACATGTTCATTAAATTTGACTGTACATATACGAATTATATGATTTTCAATTTTCAGGGAAGATAATTTTCATGGAACCCATTGATTTTGGAATGGAATCACCTTCTATAGTAATTGAAAAAATTGGTAAAGAGCTGGATAACCCCTGCATCAACATCCAGCCAAACCAAACTAATTTTAAATTTCTTGGCTTGGTCAACTACAAACAGCCCCCAATGAACACAAGAAAGTCATACGACGCAGGGATGGGACATTACACGGCAATAACTTTAAGGAACAAGAATTATTATTTCGAATTTAACGATCTAGCCGATAAACCTAAGAAAATTATGTCAACATTCAAGAGTCATCCACATTTACTAGTATATCACCAAAAATAGTTATTTTATTTTCCACTTACCATTACTCATTTCTTGATTCGGATTGTTCCCAACTTATTCAGGTGGAAACAACCCACCAAAAATTTATTGCCTTCTTTGCTATCCGAAACCGCCTATATCTTACATTTTTCGTTTTATTTTCAAGAATTTTCATTTTATTTTTGTGGTGGTCCAAAATTGTCCCCCAGTCATTTCTATGGTTCAGTTCGTTTTTAGATGTGCTATCAACCTCTATAGGAATATTGGGAGGCGATTCTGGACTACTGTGTATATTTAGTAGGTATAGATATGATATCTATGTGTATATTAGGATATATGGTGGAAATATTATATTTATATCTATTGTTTTTATTGTGACATTAAATGTTTTATTTATTTTTTGGTTGAATCGTTGTTTGATCAAAGTCGAGTGAATTTTCTTGAAAAGTACCTAGATTAAAAAAACGCAAATATGGACATTAATCGCTCTGAAACACCAGATCTACCGAATTCATGAAAAAATACTCATAAGATTTTAGGAAAGGCAATTTGCTTCACACGCATAATACTTATTGAATATTATACGGATTTTGACAAATCGTTTCGTTTATTTATAGGAACGTGGAGCAGAAGATTTGACGGTGCATGGAATAATTAATCATATAATAACCTATAATTTGCCTTGAAATTGGCCAAATCGGTGTAATATCATTTTCTCAAATGACTGCAAATTTCTCCCGAAGCTAGAAAATCATTTTTCTTCGAGTTTTTCTTCAATTTCGACAAATCGTTTCATTTTTCATTCCTCAAAACGTGGAGCAGAAAATGTGAAAATTTGAAAATACACTATAGATAATTAGCCTTGAAGAAGCATTGAAATATATATATATGGAATCGGTGAAAAATATACCTACTCTTTTTCGTCCGAAGCCACAGGTTTCTTTTCCGAAATATGCAGCAAAAAATTCTAAAATGGAATAGTTATTGACCTTACAAAACTTTGCCTTATAAAATCGTCATAAAATATGCTTTTTATAGGAATGCTTCATGAACCTATAGTGCATGAATAACGCATATATCGAAGAATCGTTTCGTGCTTTTTTTCTGTTCGAAACGTTGAGCAGAAAATTCGAAAATAGGGTAATTAATTAGCCTATAATTATCCTTCCAATACCGATATATCAAATCGGTGAAAAATATATATTTCAAAAATGGCTCTGCTGAGTTCGCTCGATGCCAGCAAAGCCACAGGTTTCATTTAAAAAGTATGCAGCAAAAAATTCCAAAATGCATTAGTTATTGAGCTTATAATCAAAACTAACACTTTGTCTTGAAAATTCGTCATAAAATATGCTTTTGATAGAAATAGATAATGTACAGTGAAAGACGCATATTTCGACAAATTGTCTTGTATTTTTTCTGTTTGAAACGTTGAGCTAAAAATTCGAAAATAGGATAATTAATTAGCCTAAAAGTAGCCTTTGAATATCGATATATCAAATCGGTGAAAAATATAATATTTTCAAAAATGGCTCTGCTGAGTTCGTCCGAAGCCAGCAAAGCCACAGGTTTGTTTAAAAAAATATGCAGCAAAAAATTCCAAAATGCAATATTTATCGAGCTCATAATTAATACTAACACTTTGTCTTGAAAAATCGTCATAAAATATGCTTTTGATAGATATGCATAATGTATAGTGAATAAACGCGTATTTCGACGAATTGTCTTGTAATTTTTCTGTTTGAAACGTGGAGCAAAAAATTCGAAAATAGGGTAATTAATTAGCCTAAAATTAGCTCTTCAATATCGATATATCAAATCTGTGAAAAATATATTATTTTAAAAAATGGCTCTGCTGAGTTCGCCCGAAGCCAGCAAAGCCACAGGTTTGTTTTAAAAAATATGTAGCCAAAAATTCCAAAATGGGATAGTCATCAAGCTTACAATCGATACTAGTACTTCCCCTCATGAAATCGTCATAAAATATGCTTTTGATAGAAATACATAATGTACAGTGAATGACACGTATTTCGACAAATTGTCTTGTATTTTTTCTGTTTGAAACGTGGAGCAAAAAATTAAAAAATAGGGTAATTAATTAGCCTAAAATTAGCTCTTCAATATCGATATATCAAATCAGTGAAAAATATATTATTTTAAAAAATGGCTCTGCTGAGTTCGCCCGAAGCCAGCAAAGCCACAGGTTTGTTTTAAAAAATATGTAGCCAAAAATTCCAAAATGGGATAGTCATCAAGCTTACAATCGATACTAGTACTTCCCCTCATCAAATCGTCATAAAATATGCTTTTGATAGAAATACAATGTACAGTGAATGACGCGTATTTCGACAAATTGTCTTGTATTTTTTCTGTTTGAAACGTGGAGCAAAAAATTAAAGAATAGGGTAATTAATTGCCTAAAATTAGCTCTTCAATATGGATATATCAAATCAGTGAAAACTATATTATTTTAAAAAATGGCTCTGCTGAGTTCGCCCGAAGCCAGCAAAGCCACAGGTTTGTTTTAAAAAATATGCAGCAAAAAATTTCAAAATGCAATAGTTATTGAGCTTATAATCGATACTAACACTTTGTTTTGAAAAATCGTCATAAAATATGCTTTTGATAGATATGCATAATGTATAGTGAATTAACGCGTATTTCGACGAATTGTCTTGTATTTTTTCTGATTGAAACGTTGAGCAAAAAATTCAAAAATAGGGTAATTAATTAGCCTAAAATTAGCTCTTCAATATGGATATATCAAATCAGTGAAAAATATGTTATTTTAAAAAATGGCTCTGCTGAGTTCGCCCGAAGCCAGCAAAGCCACAGGTTTGTTTTAAAAAATATTCAGCAAAAAATTTCAAAATGCAATAGTTATTGAGCTTATAATCGATACTAACACTATGTTTTGAAAAATCGTCATAAAATATGCTTTTGATAGATATGTATAATGTATAGTGAATTAATGTGTATTTCGATGAATCGTTTCGTTTTTTTTTCTGCCTGGTTTCTTTTAAAAAATATGTAGCCAAAAATTCCAAAATGGGATAGTCATCAAGCTTACAATCGATACCACTTTCCTACATGAAATCGTCATAAAATATGCTTTTGATAGAAATACATAATGTACAGTGAATGACGCGTATTTCGACAAATTGTCTTGTATTTTTTCTGTTTGAAACGTGGAGCAAAAAAATCGAAAATAGGGTAATTAATTAGCCTAAAATTAGCCATTTGATCTCAATCTATCAAATCGGTGGAAATTCTATGTTTTCAAAAATGGCTCTGCTGAGTTCGGCCGAAGCTAGCAAAGCAACAGATTTTTCTATGATAGAGAGGAGCAAGAAAATTGGGAATAGGGTAATAAATTAGCCTAAAATGAGCACTACATCCTCACTATATCAGATATTCAAAAAATATAGTTTTTCAAAAATGGCTTTGCTGAGTTCGGCCGAAGCTAGCAAAGCCACAGATTTTTCTATGATAGGGAGGAGCAAAAAATTCGGGAATGGGGTAATAAATTAGCCTAAAATGAGCCTAAAATTATGAGATGTGTCTCATGTTGAAAATCGAAAGTGGCTTTGCTAGCTTCTTTAGTATGATTTTTTTTATGTATTCTCAATGAGGCCTATACCGATGCCTGATGTACGTACTCCACAATGAGAAACATGATTCAACCGAAGAACGAGGAACGAGCCAGCACGGCTGGGAATCACCCAAGATATCACACACACGCCACAAAAGAAGACTTGAATCTGATGTATGAAAAATAATCAATACGTTTTTGCGGATGGATTTCCCTCGAGAATACCCTTGGAATACCATCGGAAATATCCTGTATTTGATATCGTTTCCTGAAAGTATCTTTTCTTGATCGTGAGATATTTACTTCAATACACACATCTGCCCATCACTGATGTATGGTTTGATAAATATGTTCTAATACACAGAGTGTCTCTAAAAGGTCTGTACAAAATCTTAGCTCGTTCGAAAATAAAAATATATATTTTTTAAATTTATAAACTTTATTTACCGTATTACTTTTGATATTGTAGATCCTACCTTTTGGAGACACCCTGTATAAAAATCATGGATAATCAAAACGCAACCATTGAAATATGACTAGGGGGTTCCTTCGAAAAATGTACTTTTTCACTTGCCCTGTATGAAAATGATGAAAAGGTTCACTTACCTTCATATTGAAGATTTGAATAAAAAAATCGAATATGAGAAATCACTTACCTCCTAATTTTCAACAAATATAAAAAACCCAGACTAAATCACCATGCACGGAATGAGGATGTTCGATTCAGGCACTCACAACTTGTTAAAGAGTGATAATAAACAGAATATAGCTCAGGAAAGAGGAGGAATATTCCCATGTATTACCGGTATTCCCTAAAAATTTCCTGTATTTCCGTCATATTGCCAGTATTTCCAATGTATTTCTTGTATTGCCAAAATATTGCGTGTATTGCCTGAATATTTCTTGTATTTCCTGATAATTGCCAGTATTTCCAGCAAAATGTACAGGTATTCCCACCAGTGGATCACCCCTCGGGCACACTGTATTCAAACCCTAAGTGTAATATATTTTTAGATCCAGCTTTCCGTGGAGATTCAAAAAATTGAATAATATATAGAGGGTGTTCCTCTTGAAAAAATTGTCGCGGACATCATAACTCAAACGTGGATGACCCTGTATCTTTGATTTCTCCTCATAAATGCAGGAAATTTTCAATTAGAATTGACTGATCTCAGGAGATTTCCTAGAAATAGATATGTAGTTTGGCTAAAAATTATAGTTTATTCAGTACTTTAGGAAAGCACCTGGATAGCACCATATAATAATATAAAGATTATACCTTTTTTCCTAAGTCCTTTTCCAATACTTCCATGATGGTTGGACTATCATTTGATGAGTTGTATTTGTCTTGGAATAAACTCATATTTGAGCTTTTGTTGAGGCATATTCTACAGAATGCAATGCAGTTGGAAATATAATCAGTGTAGCT